CTTGTGCTCCTGTTCTTGCTTACCTAATTTTGATCTTACTTTTGAAATTGAGTGTGATGCATCTGGGGTTGGAATTGGTGCTGTGTTAATGCAAAGTGGTAAGCCTATCGCGTACTTTTCGGAAAAATTAAGTGGTGCAACATTAAATTATCCTACTTACGATAAAGAATTGTATGTTGTAATTAGGGCTTTAGAAAATTGGCAACATTATTTAATGCCAAAAGAGTTTGTTATCCATAGTGATCATGAGTCTTTGAAATATTTGCATGGACAAAACAAACTGAATAAGAGACATGCTAAATGGAGTGCATTTCTTGAATCTTTTCCTTATGTCATTAAGTACAAGAAGGAAAAGAGAATGTGGTAGCCGATGCATTGTCTCGTAGATCGTATGTACTTTCTGTGCTTGATTCTAAGTTATTAGGGATTGAATACATCAAGGATTTGTATGCTACTGATTCTGATTTTTCATCCATTTATGAAGCATGTGAAAGTGGCGCCTTTAACAAGTTTTATAGGTACGAAGGTTTCTTGTTTAAAGATAATAAATTATGTGTGCCTGCTTGTTCTCTGCGTGAACTATTAGTGCGTGAATCTCATAGTGGTGGTCTTATGGGTCATTTTGGTATCTTGAAAACTTATGATGTTTTATGTGAGCATTTTTATTGGCCTAATATGAAACGTGACGTAGAAAAAGTTTGTTCTACTTGTATTGAGTGCAAACAAGCAAAGTCTAAGTCACAACCACATGGGTTATATATGCCTTTACCTGTACCTACCCACCCTTGGATTGATATTTCAATGGACTTTGTTTTGGGATTACCTAAATCTCAAAAAGGGTGTGATTCAATTTTTGTGATAGTTGATAGGTTTTCTAAGATGGCACATTTTATTCCTTGTCATAAATCTGATGATGCCAAACATGTAACTGATATATTTATGCGTGAAATTGTTAGATTGTATGGTTTACCTAGAACTATTGTGTCTGACAGAGATGTTAGATTTTTGAGCTACTTTTGGAAAACTTTGTGGGGAAAACAAGGTACAAAACTATTGTTTTCAACAACTCTCATCCTCAAACAGATGGCCAGACGGAGGTGGTTAATCGGACTCTTGGTTCATTGCTTCGTGTTTTGATCCAAAAGAATCGTAAGAATTGGGAAACTTGTTTGCCTATTGCTGAATTTGCATATAATCGTGTTGTGCATTCTACTACCCAATATTCTCCGTTTGAAATTGTTTATGGATTTAACCCCTTAACCCCTTTAGACCTGTCTCCATTGCCTGTTTCGGAGTATCTTAATGCAGATGGAGCCAAGAAAGCTGAGTATGTACATTCTCTTCATGAGAAAGTACACATGAATATTGTGAAGAAAAAATGAGCATGTTGCGCGAATTGCCAACAAGGGGCGTAAGGAAATGATATTCGAACCTGGTGATTGGGTTTGGGTTCATTTAAGGAAGATTCGATTTCCTACAAAGGTTAAATCGAAGTTAGATCCTCGTGGAGCTGGTCCTTTCCAAGTTGTCAAGCGTTTGAACAACAATGCTTATCAACTTGACCTTCCTGGTGAGTATAATGTTAGTGCGACTTTTAATGTTTCTGATTTATCTCCGTTTGATTTCTCAGATGATGAAGCTGTACAAGTTTTGGATTCGAGGTCGAATCCTTTCGAAGAAAAAGGGAATGATGTGAACATCCATGGTAATCAAGTCCAAGATGATCAAGATGTTCGGGTTCCAAGTACTGTCCAAGCTCAAGGAGTGACTCAAGATCCATTATCCAACATTGGAGGCCCAATATCTCAAGCTAGAAGTAAAAGGATGAAGGGTGCACTTAATAATCTTATATCCAATAGTTTAGCCCAAGAGACTGTCAAGTCTGGAAGTTACAAGCCCAAGATTATTAATGTGTTACGAGGCCCATTTGACGAAGGAAATTTCGGCCCAGAAACCAAGCAAGGGAGGCCAGCCCTATCTCCAAATTTTTAGGAGTTGGAATCTCTATCTTTTAGGGATAAAATCATTTAAATCTTATCACACTTGTGGAAGGATGAAATTTGGAAGATTCCCTATCTTTTAGAGATAAGATCATTTACATCTTATCACATGGAAGGATAAGATTCGATATGATTCTCTTTTATCTAATTTAGAGTTTATTCAAAATAAGAAGTCTATTCCTTGGTGTCTACTCTCAACCGTTGGATGGAGATTAGATCAAGATTGGATGGCTATGATTACTCTACAAAGAAGATATTGATAGAGTTGACAACTCAGGAAGACTCTTTTCAAGATAGGGATAAGATTCTTTTGAGATAATATCTCTTTGTATTTGGAGTTATATTTTCATTAGACTAGTGTGTCTTAAGTCTATAAAGGTGTCTAGATACATTGCCTTAATAGATAAGACACAAGTTGTCAAGTAGAGGTTAAGTTGATTTCTAGTTCTTTAAAGTAGGAATAGAGTTAGAGATCAAACTCTTCTCCTACTTCATAGGAAAATTTCGGCCCCCTCTACTATAAATAGGGGTGTTTGGCCAGCATTTCATTGGTACCTTTGATGAATTATTTCAATATGAAATGAGAGGAAACTCTTTGTTCTTTTGCTACTCTTTTCGAAGATTAGTGCATTGCACACAAGCTTGTGCTTTGTTGATGCATGCGAGTAGAATAGGTGTTTTTCTACTTGTGGAGCTTTGTTAGTTGTTCATTGGAGTCTTTTCGCTAGCCGTTCTATCCATAAATCGAAGGGATAGGGTTGTTAGAGAGGTGACCGATTGGGTTGCTAACCTTAAACAGTTTCTACATCTTCTAAACATTTCCATCCCTTTTTGGTGCAAATTTTTGTGGTTTGCATCTCTTCTTTTCTTTTAATTTTCGTGAGTGGTGGAGTCCATAATATTGGATTTGCAAGTTTTCAAGTCCTGGGAAATTCATAACTTCCGCGTCGAGGTAAATCTGCCACCTTTGCCTCAAGATTCATATCAAAAAGTTTGTTTAAAAAACAAGGTTAAAGAAAAGTTAAAAACAAATGTCCTAGAGGTTAGATCAATATGTTTCAATGAAATGGAAGAAAGGGCCTCAACTATGATTGTAAAAGTTAAACATCCGAGAATGTAAAAGGTCAAAGATCCAATTGGTCTTCGAGCAAGAGGGGAACGTAGCAAAAATGTTCAAAAGCATAAAAAAAAGTACATATGAAGAGAAAGAAAAGGAACTGCTACAACAGCTGCTATGAACACACAAGTGGTTCTTTACAATTTATCTATAATAAGCTAATAAAAAAATCACGCTTGGCCAATTAATTCTTGTAATCTGACTGGTTGAGCGATCGTCACGTGACATCATCCCTGCATCATAGTTACATTTTATTTTTAATTAGGGAAAAAATAGTCATTCAATAAATCGTACACAATTAAAAAATAGAATTTTAATTAAGGGCAAAGTGTCATTCAATAATTAGACATTAGATTGAAATAAAGTTTTTCCCAAACCCCCATCGCCAAAACGACGCCGTTGTGGTAAAACTCCCTCTTTCAAAACGACTCTTTCTTCTTTTTCGTTTTTCTTTTCTTCTCCTCCGGGAATAAAAGCAGCTGGTTTGCCCCCCTATTCCTTCTGCTTTGTCGCTGGTAATTGATTAGGAACACACACCCCCAACTGCTGACCGAGTAAAAAGAACAACCAACTAGAGACGGGATTCCTCTGCCAGTCTGCCTCACGTAATACGTTGCTCAACCCTCCCTCTGCCGCCGTTAATACTCTCTTCCTCCTCCAAGCTGCACACAAAGTTCCTTGTGTCGTCGTTGAATCTCTAATTCATATCCCACTAAAAACTTGCAATTACTTCATCAGCGATTGTCGATTTCCTCTTCCTGTTTGCAATGAAAAAAAAGAGACACTGCAAGAGAGATGAGTAGGTTTGCCACTGCCATCACTCTTGGAGGTTGCCGCCGCCGTCGCTCATGGAGATTGCCGCTGTGCTTGGAGGTCACCGTCGTTTAGGTAGTCATCTGTTTTCCCTTTTTTTCGAACCCCTTTTTCCTAATTATTTCAAATATTTTATTTCCTTATCCCCAAACTATATTGTTGACTTGGACATTGCCGTTCTTCAATTAGTTCATCATATTTGGAGATTTTTATAAGTAATTTCCTTTTCTCCCCTTTTAGATTATGATTTTCCTTCCGAAAATTCCAAAACAATAAAGAGGAAATCTTTGCTATTGGATTTCCAGGTACTATTCTAATCATGATTCGACAATGTCGACTTTAATCTCTACAAATACATAGTTAATTGATACCGGAAACCACATACCTTAACAAGAAGAAACAAAACAATTGTGATTCCTTTGTTCATCGGTTCTTATCCACTGAATTCAGAAATTCGGCTCAACTTCATTGAGGTATTGTTGGTTGTTCAGCGTTACAAATTTTTCAGCTTCATTGATTTTTCCAATTCGGTTTTAGTTGCAATCTGTGTTCCTTCCAGAATATTGTTGAAACAATTTTGTATGTATGATTCTTTATTTTCGATTAGTTTCTAATATGAACTAAAATAATTAACTTTCCATGCTTTGATGTCCTTGGATTTATGCTTGGCTTCTGATAAAACCGTTAAGCTACGGTGGAGGAGATGGCAGGAACCAAGGTAACTTTTTTCTGTTTAAATTTTTTTTTTTTTTTTTTTTTTGGTGTGTGGCTGACATAATTTTGTTCCCTGTCATTAATGATTTCGAAAGTTCTATACGTGGTCATATATGGTATTCAAAAGTTCTATATGTGGTCATATATGGTAATGATCGTGTGGTGTCCAAATCTTTGTCTACGATTTCTGGTTATTTACGAAAACTGATCATATGTGGATCTTTCCTTCTGTATGATTTGTTTTAGTGCTAATAGAATATTAACTATGTGTTTATTTCGTTGATTGGTGGATGTCTAACTATCAGCCCACATCTTCAGAGAAACGGAATCACTAGGCGGGGTTGGCGGCATTGATCATGCAGGTGCATTATCTTCAGAAGGAAGTAAAGATGGATGGGAATGGTATGAGGATCCCAGATGTGGTTGCCTTGGATATATGGGCATCTTTCCTTCCTAAACGACACGTAAGTTCCTGTATGCTTTTTCTTGTGATTAACAGTTTTCATCATTTCAGTTGGCCTGGTAAGCTCTGTTCGTTTTTGAAATGTATCCTTATTGATAAACAAATTTTGCACCAATTTCTGAGCTCATTGGATGGATGAAGTTGGCATTTTGTGTAATGTCCTTGGATTTATGCTTGGCTTCTGTTAGAACCGTTAAGCTACGGTGGAGGAGATGGCAGGAAAGTGGATTAGCTCCCTAATCCAAGGTGACTTCTTTCTGTTTAAATTTTTTCTTTCTTTTTTTTCGTGTGGCTGACATAATTTTGTTCCCTGTTATTAATGATTTCGAAAGTTCTATACGTGGTCATATATGGTATCCAAAAGTTCTATATGTGGTCATATATGGTAATGATCGTGTGGTGTCCAAATCTTTGTCTACGATTTCTGGTTATTTATGAAAACTGATCATATGTGGATCTTTCCTTCTGTATGATTTGTTGTAGTGCTAATTGAATATTAACTATGTGTTTATTTTGTTGATTGGTGGGTGTCTAACTATCAGTCCTCATCTTCAGAGGAACCAGAAGCGGAATCACTAGGCTGGGGAGGCGGCATTGATTATGCAGGTGCATCATCTTCAGAAGGAAGTAAAGATGGATAGGAAGGGTATCAGGATCCTAGATGTGGTTGCCTTGGATGTAGGGGCATCTTTCCTTCCCAGACGACACGTAATTTCCTGTATGCTTCTTCTTGTGATTAACAGTTTTCATCTTTTCAGTTGGACTGGTAAGCTCTGTTCGTTTTTAAATGTATCCTGATTGAGGGACAAATTTTGCTCCAATTTCTGAGCTCATTGGATGGCTGAAGTTGGCATTTTGTGTAAATCCATATTAGCTGTTTATAGAATTCTTGGGATCTACCCATTAATCAAGCATTTCTGTCCATCACAACTCATGTTGAGGCAGACAAAGAAGCTGAGGAAAAACATTTTGTTCTATGGAGATTGGATAAGGGAGTAGCACAAGGCTCGTCAGAGATTCCAAAAAGTGCATCATCCTTTTATTTTATTTCGTTATTATTGTTTGGTTGGCATTTTGACCTTGATCCCAATGACTTGCATGAAAGTGCCGCCTTTTTTTTGGCCTATTTGAAGCCCTTTCTATTGTCATGGGAAAATATTAAGGGAAAAGGTAGGATAAGAACTCCAGAGTGTTATATCATTTTCATGTGTTGAATTGTATAATCACTTGCAGGTGAGGCAATGCCCCTGGAATATAACTTGGATGGTTTGAATGCAATAAGCTTTGATAAAGGATGCTACTTAGGACAAGAACTTGTGGCTCGAACACATAATGTTTGGGTTATTCAAAAGCGGTTGCTTCCTTTAGAATTTCTAGATGACAATAGAAAGGGTAAGTTCAATATGTTTGGGTTATTCAAAAGCGGTTGCTTCCTTTAGAATTTCTAGATGACAATAGAAAGGGTAAGTTCAATTTTGCTTTCGCTAAAACTTTTGTTTACTTTTGCCATTTAACTTAAGCATTTGTGTTTTGCTACACCAGAGGTGGAAGGTAAAGTTGTTCCAAAATTACAAGTAATTGCTGAATCATCTGGGAAAAAAGTGGGTATCATCACTGCAGCATTGGGGAGCCGTGGCCTTGGTCTTCTATGTTTAGATGCAGCTTTCAAAGAGCAAGGCTCTTTGTCCATACAAGGTCAGGAAAATGTCAAGGTTAAGGCCCGAAAACCAGATTGGTGGCCGTCTTGGTGGCTTGCGGAGGATCAACAGAGCGCAGCAGCTTAGGGTATTCATTTTTAACATCTGATTATTGGTTTCGGTAACAGTTATTGGTTCTGTTAAGCAGAAAGATCGTAGGATTTGGTTTCTTTTGACAGGTTTGTACAGAAGTATTGTAGTTTGACTAGGTTTGTACGAAATATAATTATTGTATTTTTTTCAAAAATTATTGAGTTGCTACTAAATGTACAGTTGAATTAAAATTTAGCTTAACATACCTTCTCGAATATGAACAAATTTTGTACAATGAAGTTCCTAATTAATGGCTAAAAATCCAGACTTGTACTGACACACTTTTGTTCGAGAACAAATTTTGCACTATAAAGTTGCTAAATTAATGCCTAAAAATCCAGACTTATCGGCATACTTTTATAACACAAAATTAGTTTCTACACTTTCTTGTTTTTCTTGTCACACAATAAGAATAAAACCTATATAGAAATCATCATCAATGTAACCCTAATTTTGGAGTATCATTGCTTGCATTTTATAAATAATAATATAGATATCGTACATCATTGCAAATTATATTGATATTTCAGCAGAACAATATTTACATTGTCAATTAATATAATTATTAGTAATTATTTTAAAAAAAATCAAATTCACCAAAATAATATAAAGAAAACCAGTTTAACCACAAAACAAACTAATGATACCAAATTATTTATACATGCAAAAACGTTGATAGCAAACATTACCCTCATAATTCTAAATATCCCAGATTATTTATATTCTAAATATCCCAGATTATTTATAGGGTACGTCGCGCATCGCGCGATGAATGCTCGAGTACTAATTGAATAAAAACGACGCAGATTTAATTTTGGGCATCCGTTATTTAAAATATATAACTAGAACTGGAAGCCTTAGCGCTATCCGTAGAAAATTGAAACTGAAATCAATAGAAAACTATTACCTGCTTATGGAATAAACCAGTTGGAAGTCCTTTCCTTGGGCAGGGAGGCCAAAGATTAGGACTCAGGGACTCCCCAGACGAACAATGCATCACACGTACTCCCCAGTAGAACAATGCAGTTAATCACAACTTGCAAAGAAGTATCATTTGAACCACGATGAATATAGAACAAGGCAAATATAATACATATAAGATTCGAAGCGTAATATCCTCCTGTATCTTTGGTGACATGAAAATAATCTAATCCTTCCCTATACAGCAGACTTCCACTTGAAGGAAAGAATAATTCTTTTCCTTGAAAACTAATTGCATGAAGAAAAACAGGCCTTGGATCTTCATTGCAAACATAAAAAAGCAGAACGCCTTTTGCGATGAGGGCCCTATTGATTAGTACAACAAAACCACAGTTGCACTTTCGTTGACCTATCAGCGGAAAAAGAATGAAATACACTGCACATTCTGAGTCTCTTCTCTTCCGGATAAATAGTTGATTGAGCTGTACAAGGCAGCAGAAAATAGTTTCAAGCACAAATTCTTCCTGCTTCACCTGAAAGCTTTCAATCTGAGGCTGAATCATAGAAGTCACTTGGGCACGGGGTCGTAACCTCAGATTCAAGTACTTGAACTACTCTGTGCATTGTAGGCCGATCCTCGGGGGCTGAAGACACGCACTGAATGGCGACTGCAAGCAAAGCGTCGAGGGTTTCTGCCTGTACTGCCTCACAATGTGGATCAACTATCTCCCGCTGTCTATTCTCCGTTATAAGAAAATTTAGCTGCCAGAAGATAACATAGAACTAGTGTCATGCATACATACAAACATGAGATTTGGTACAAAATAATTTAATTTCCCAGTTCATGGATTGTTGGAGCCAGGAAAATGATAAACCTCAGGGAAGCGGAATCCCTCTGATTTAATAAAAAATAAAATTAAAAAAAAAAGGAAAAAAAAAGCACATAAAACTCAACATAGACCATGGTCCTAAAGTTTATCCTAAAAAGTCCCTCAGGTAGGTTAGCACAGTAAGCAGGCAAGGAATACAACTCGAATAAAACGTCAAACGAGTATTTCATTAATCAGCCAAAACTTCCGGAATCTCACACAAGCTGAGATCTTTGACAAACTCAAGAGCACCAAAAGCTTGATTCAGAATAAACGACAAAAGGTGGCTTACATCAAGGTTGAGGATCCCAATGAATCGATCTTTCTTTTTCATGTACTGTGCAACAGGACGTTGATCTATAAAAATATTGTTGTATACCACAGATGAAGGCTATCACCACCACCACTTGCTTCGATATCGATAAGTATTTAACCCATGTCACTTTTTTAGCGTTTGAGGGGTGAAAAAAAAAAAGTAAGCATGAGTTAAGAAAAGCACTCTACTTGATGGCCTGGAACATGATCTACGAGGAAAAGCACTTAATTGAGATGGTTTGTGTAAATGAAGATTTGGTTGGGATTTAGTTTCAAGGAACTATTTCAAATTCCACTGAAGTACCTCCTTTCCAGAACAATAAAAAGGGTGAACTGGCAAATGGAAGCTCTAACGTGCAGAGTGAAGCAAAAGTCGAGCCTTTAAGGCCTCATTTTCAAGCCTAGATCTTTCAGTAGGAGCTATAACCGCAGCTCAAAAGAGAATTCACAGTCACATCAAAAGTTAAACAGCTCTTGTCGTGAACTAAATCAGCTTCCCTTTTCTGACAAAGACAAAAGACATTTGTAGTGTCTCTCCAACTTTGGCTATCTTACTTTGGAGAACCCCTTATAACCTGGCATCTTGAACAATTTCTCTTTTCTTTTCTAAATAAATTTTTAAAATAATTAAAAAAAAATTTAAAAAATCCACCCCAGTGGATCCCACTTAAATGTGGGTGTACCCCCTCAATTCCCAAATAGATATGTCGTTCCTAATAGATATTTCATTTCTTTTATATCCAAAAAACATTACTCAACATGCATCTGACTAAAACATGTTGCTTTATAAAAGATCACGGAAGCCAAGAACAAGAGAAGCAGTCTGCACGTCAACCATAAAGGAACAAAAAATTATTTCTTGAAACTCAAGCGGAGAATGAAGGTACACACATCTTGCTTCGAACATAGGAGTTGCTAAAATAAAATTTGGGAAAAAGAAACGATTGTATGGGAAATACTTCAGGATTCTCATGAGATTATTCTACTCACTTCAGTGATTTATCGACGACACAAGTGATCAAAGAATAATCTTAAGGAGATTTGTATAGAATAATTAAAGACAAATGTGTAGAGAAAATGAACTTCTAAGGCATTTAGAAAAAATGGTCTTAAATACAAATGCAGCGTACATCATGAAAAAGATTGAAAATAAAACTAGGATTTAAAGTATTGCTAGATAACATAAATTCAGAAGCTAATCATTCTTTTAATGTATCACATCAATCCCAGTATGGAATATAATGTCATGTCTAGAGTTTGACATTAGACTTCAGTCATTCAGACAATGGAATAAAGTATTGGAAGGAGCAACAAACATACCCAGCCAACAATGTTCAAACCCTTCTCAATGAAGGATGCATCTGTAGGTCGCTTGCCACTCACAACTTCAAGGACCAAAACCCCAAAGCTATAAACATCTGTCTTTTCCGTAGCTCTACCACTCTGCATGTACTCTGGCATCAAATTCAATGTAAGATTTAAATTAGTTTACAACCGTAAATCTATTATAATTCTTTTTTGTTTTGGGTTAAGAACATTTATCTTACTCAAAATGCAGGTAAATGGAAAAAAGTACGTTAATTTAGAAGCAATTACATACTAACAAGAAATTAGCTTACAACCCCTTCTATAAAATCTATTATACTTCATGGTTTCAAGTTAATAACATTCATCTTACTCAAAATGCAGGGAAATCAGAACAAGTATATTGATTCAGAAGCAATCCCGTACTAACACAAGGAAATACATCTTGTGTAACATCACATGTTCAGCTTCAATGCACTAGATATCTCAGGCTCAAAATTACGAAACATAACCCAAGCTTGCAAGAAAAATATCAGAGAATGGTATCACTCTTTCCCTCAAACTCAGAATCTACACACCTTATAAACAATTTCCAAAAAGAAATAGAAAGACAAATAACATATACTCTGTACTTTTTAAGAGGAAAGTGAAATTTAACTGATCCAAATAAACATCAAATTTAGGTTATGTAATATTAGACCATTTTTAAATACATCATTGCAAGACCATATGCTACCCAGTTCCTCTAAGTACATGATTCATGGCAGAACCATGTGCTACAGTCATTTGCAACTGCTTAAACCCAATAAACAAATTCATTTCCTTCTCTATCTTTCTGGGCTAATAACCTATATCAAGCACATCCTTTTCCCAAGTATCGGGGTTTTCAGGTCAGAAAATCGGTTATTTCAAAGGTAGCATGACATTAATAATTGGAAAGCCAATGTTCGTTAGTTATAATTTAGCTAAGAACAGATCCTATTAAGAGCCTTAGCTAAGCAAAATACACTAGTGAATGAGTGTGATTCGTCATCCAGAGTCTAGCGAAAAACCCTCAAGTGAGAAATTGCAACAAAGGGCATAAGGGACGGCAATATTATCCCATACCTGGAGCCAGATACCCAAAAGTACCAGCTACAATTGTTGTGATGTGAGACTCTTCATCCTCCAATAACTTAGCAAGCCCAAAGTCCGCAACACGTGCCTCAAAATTGGCATCCAGCAAAATGTTGCTAGATTTTATATCACGGTGTATTATTCGAGGAGAGCAGTCGTGATGCAAATAGGCAAGGCCTTTGGCTGCACCCATGATTATGTTGAGCCTTGCATCCCAATCCAGTTGCTCAGATTTTTCTGCAATGATGGAAGAAGATAATTGGCTTATTTTTTTTGCCAATGACCATATTAGGCATACTGAATCATCAGATAAATGTAACAAAAATAACATATATATATATATATATATTCGGATTGGCTCCAGCGAGAATCGACTCTCGACCTCCAGGTAATAACCATCTCCATCCTAATCTCCTAACCATCCCATCCTAAATTAAAAGGGTAATGGAAGCATACTTTTTTTGTAAC